GTGACACAATAGTACCACACCTGTGTCTAGCTTGTGACACAATAGTACCACACCTGTGTCTGGCTTGTGACACAATAGTACCACACCTGTGTCTGGCTTGTGACACAATAGTACCACACCTGTGTCTGGCTTGTGACACAATAGTACCACACCTGTGCCTGGCTTGTGACACAATAGTACCATACCTGTGTCTGGCTTGTGACACAATAGTACCACACCTGTGTCTGGCTTGTGACACAATAATACCACACCTGTGTCTGGCTTGTGACACAATAGTACCACACCTGTGTCTGGCTTCTGACACAATAGTACCACACCTGTGTCTGGCTTGTGACACAATAGTACCACACCTGTGTCTGGCTTGTGACACAATAGTACCATACCTGTGTCTGGCTTGTGACACAATAGTACCACACCTGTGTCTGGCTTGTGACACAATAGTACCACACCTGTGTCTGGCTTCTGACACAATAGTACCACACCTGTGTCTGGCTTCTGACACAATAGTACCACACCTGTGTCTGGCTTGTGACACAATAGTACCACACCTGTGTCTGGCTTCTGACACAATAGTACCACACCTGTGTCTGGCTTGTGACACAATAGTACCACACCTGTGTCTGGCTTGTGACACAATAGTACCACACCTGTGTCTGGCTTGTGACACAATAGTACCACACCTGTGTCTGGCTTCTGACACAATATCTACCTAACGAGTTGAGAGTATTTATGGATGAGAGAGAATCAGTTACAACTCAAGTTGATCTCAGTCTTAGATAGATGGACACATTTGTGTGCAAGAAGTGTGACAGAGAGTTCTGTCTAGTGGTGGTGTGGTAGTGCCATCTAGTGGTGGTAGTGGTGGTGTGGTAGTGCCATCTAGTGGTGGTAGTGGTAGTGGTGGTGTGGTAGTGCCATCTAGTGGTGGTAGTGGTGGTGTGGTAGTGCCATCTAGTGGTGGTAGTGGTAGTGGTGGTGTGGTAGTGCCATCTAGTGGTGGTAGTGGTGGTGTAGTAGTGCCATCTAGTGGTGGTAGTGGTGGTGTAGTAGTACCATCTAGTGGTGGTAGTGGTGGTGTGGTAGTGCCATCTAGTGGTGGTAGTGGTGGTGTAGTAGTGCCATCTAGTGGTGGTAGTGGTGGTGTAGTAGTACCATCTAGTGGTGGTAGTGGTGGTGTGGTAGTGCCATCTAGTGGTGGTAGTGGTGGTGTAGTAGTGCCATCTAGTGGTGGTAGTGGTGGTGTGGTTAGTGCCATCTAGTGGTGGTAGTGGTGGTGTAGTAGTACCATCTAGTGGTGGTAGTGGTGGTGTGGTAGTGCCATCTAGTGGTGGTAGTGGTGGTGTGGTAGTGCCATCTAGTGGTGGTAGTGGTGGTGTGGTAGTGCCATCTAGTGGTGGTAGTGGTGGTGTGGTAGTGCCATCTAGTGGTGGTAGTGGTGGTGTGGTAGTGCCATCTAGTGGTGGTAGTGGTGGTGTAGTAGTACCATTTAGTGGTGGTAGTGGTGATGTGATAGTGCCATCCAGTGGTGGTAGTGGTGGTGTAGTAGTGCCATCTAGTGGTGGTAGTGGTGGTGTAGTAGTACCATCTAGTGGTGGTAGTGGTGGTGTAGTAGTACCATCTAGTGGTGGTAGTGGTGGTGTGGTAGTGCCATCTAGTGGTGGTAGTGGTGGTGTAGTAGTACCATCTAGTGGTGGTAGTGGTGGTGTGGTAGTGCCATCTAGTGGTGGTAGTGGTGGTGTAGTAGTACCATCTAGTGGTGGTAGTGGTGGTGTGGTAGTGCCATCTAGTGGTGGTAGTGGTGGTGTGGTAGTGCCATCTAGTGGTGGTTAGTGGTGGTGTGGTAGTGCCATCTAGTGGTGGTAGTGGTGGTGTGGTAGTGCCATCTAGTGGTGGTAGTGGTGGTGTGGTAGTGCCATCTAGTGGTGGTAGTGGTGGTGTAGTAGTACCATTTAGTGGTGGTAGTGGTGATGTGATAGTGCCATCCAGTGGTGGTAGTGGTGGTGTAGTAGTGCCATCTAGTGGTGGTGTCGTAGTGCCATCCAGTGGTGGTAGTGGTGGTGTAGTAGTGCCATCTAGTGGTGGTGTAGTAGTGCCATCCAGTGGTGGTAGTTGTGGTGTAGTAGTGCCATCTAGAGGTGGTGTGGTAGTGCCATCCATTGGAGGTAGTGGTGATGTAGTAGTGCCATCTAGTGGTGGTAGTGGTGGTGTAGTAGTGCCATCAAGTGGTGGTGTGGTAGTGCCATCCATTGGTGGTAGTGGTGGTGTGGTAGTGCCATCCAGTGGTGGTAGTGGTGGTGTAGCAGTACCATCTAGTGGTGGTAGTCAGAGTTAGTCAGGTTATCAGTGATGGTGTTATAGTGAAGGTCAGGTCAGTGACCAACCTCAAGGTCACTATAGGTCAGTAAACCTTCAATGGTCGTACAGGAGAGATGTGTTGCTCCTCCTCCTGCTGCCCCGCCGGCTTTACCGCTTCCTCAGCTTCTTAATAGATCTAAATAATGTAAGTATTGTCTAGTGGCTTGTTTGTCAGTACAACAACAGAGTTGAGCTGCAGCTCCTGGTCCCCGTCACCAGTTCGCTCACTAAATTAAGTCTTAATTTTCTTCTGGTGTAATGTCTTGGAGTTGACCTTAGTGGAGGTCTTTTGATGCGAGGAACTGGAGCTACTCCCCTTCCTCCGGGTATATAAATCAGGCAGTAATGTTACTAGTGTATATTACATGGTAATGTTGATATTTATAATGTTTATTGGCCACAAAATAGAGCGAAACACCAACGTCAAAGACCTGGGAGTGATCATGTCGGAGGATCTCACCTTCAAGGACCATAACATTGTATCAATCGCATCTGCTAGAAAAATGACAGGATGGATAATGAGAACCTTCAAAACTAGGGATGCCAAGCCCATGATGACACTCTTCAGCTCACTTGTTCTATCTAGGGTGGAATATTGCTGCACACTAACAGCACCTTTCAAGGCAGGTGAAATTGCCGACCTAGAAAATGTACAGAGAACTTTCACGGCGCGCATAACGGAGATAAAACACCTCAATTACTGGGAGCGCTTGAGGTTCCTAAACCTGTATTCCCTGGAACGCAGGAGGGAGAGATACATGATTATATACACCTGGAAAATCCTAGAGGGACTAGTACCGAACTTGCACACGAAAATCACTCACTACGAAAGCAAAAGACTTGGCAGACGATGCACCATCCCCCCAATGAAAAGCAGGAGTGTCACTAGCACGTTAAGAGACCATACAATAAGTGTCAGGGGCCCGAGACTGTTCAACTGCCTCCCAGCATACATAAGGGGGAATACCAACAGACCCCTGGCAGTCTTCAAGCTGGCACTGGACAAGCACCTAAAGTCGGTTCCTGACCAGCCGGGCTGTGGCTCGTACGTTGGTTTGCGTGCAGCCAGCAGCAACAGCCTGGTTGATCAGGCTCTGATCCACCAGGAGGCCTGGTCACAGACCGGGCCGCGGGGGCGTTGACCCCCGGAACTCTCTGCAGGTAAACTCAAGACCACCATGATCTTACCTAGACCACCATGATCTTACTTAGACCACCATGATCTTACCTAGACCACCATGATCTTACCTAGACCACCACGATCTTACCTAGACCACCACGATCTTACCTAGACCACCATGATCTTACCTAGACCACCATAATCTTACCTAGACCACCATGATCTTACCTAGACCACCATAATCTTCACATACCTTCATCATCCCTTGCACCTCCACTGCTCTACAAATTAGTAAGGCCTATACCTGGATTATACAACATAGTTGTAGTGTGTATATATTTAACACTTTGTAGGTCTACAGTTATTTAGTTTGTATCAAAATAACTTATAGATTTAGGTGTTGTTAAGTAGGATAGGTAAGGTATAGAACTGGAGAATCTGCTATATGCATTATGAATGCATATAGCAGGGGAGAGTAATCTCCCCTGAAGGCATAGATTACGTAGAACTGTAAGCCTGAGAACCCACCAACGACCTTCAGTAGCTGTCTGCAATCTGTTATTGTACATGGTTTCCGTGGGGATTTTGGTGGGTTCCAGGCTTTGGGTAGCGGTTGTGGTGGGTGTTCTACGTTTTTTATGCCTTTGGCCAAACTGTGCAAATATTGGTTCATTGAGTTTAATTATGTAAAGTATTATTGTTCAGAATTAGTTGATTTTATAGTTTGTAAGTAGTGAAGTGTAACACTTCTGGCAGAAGACATTAATGATCAAAATAATGATAACTTGTGTGATCTGAAGTGCAGTGTTAGTCGGCAGAAAGGTCACTAACATCTGATGATGATCAGTATAGTTAGGGGGGTGATTTAGATTGGTATTAGTGAGAATAGGATTATTAACCCTACTGGGTTAGATACCCAGAAGAATGGGGGGGAGGGGGTTGCTTGAATGTAGTGGTCCTCAGGCTGTGCCATGTTGTGGGCAGCTGCTGTGTGGTGAAGGCCATGTTGTGGGCATCTGCTGTGTGGTGACGGCCATGTTGTGGGCATCTGCTGTGTGGTGAAGGCCATGTTGTGGGCATCTGCTGTGTGGTGACGGCCATGTTGTGGGCATCTGCTGTGTGGTGACGGCCATGTTGTGGGCATCTGCTGTGTGGTGACGGCCATGTTGTGGGCATCTGCTGTGTGGTGACGGCCATGTTGTGGGCAGCTGCTGTGTGGTGAAGGCCATGTTGTGGGCATCTGCTGTGTGGTGACGGCCATGTTGTGGCAGCGCTGATTGTGACGCCTTGTGATCTGTGGTGGACGGCCATGTTGTGGCACTGCTGGTGGTGACGGCCATGTTGTGGGCACTGCTGTGTTGGTGACGGCCATGTTGTGGGCATCTGCTGTGTGGTGACGGCCATGTTGTGGGCATCTGCTGTGTGGTGACGGCCATGTTGTGGGCAGCTGCTGTGTGGTGAAGGCCATGTTGTGGGCATCTGCTGTGTGGTGACGGCCATGTTGTGGGCATCTGGTGTGTGGTGACGGACGTGTTGTGGGCATCTGCTGTGTGGTGATGGACGTGTTGTGGGCAGCTGCTGTGTGGTGACGGCCATGTTGTGGGCATCTGGTGTGTGGTGACGGACGTGTTGTGGGCATCTGCTGTGTGGTGACGGACGTGTTGTGGGCATCTGCTGTGTGGTGAAGTCCGTGTTGTGGGCATCTGCTGTGTGGTGAAGTCCGTGTTGTGGGCATCTGGTGTGTTGTGAAGTCCGTGTTGTGGGCATCTGCTGTGTGGTGACGGCCGTGTTGTGGGCATCTGCTGTGTGGTGACGGACGTGTTGTGGGCATCTGCTGTGTGGTGAGCATTGCGGACGTGTTTTTTGTGGGCACTGCTGTGTGGTGAAGTCCTGTTGTGGGCATCTGTGTGTGTGAGTCCTGTTGTGGGCATCTGCTGTGTGGTGACGGCCATGTTGTGGGCATCTGCTGTGTGGTGAAAGGCCGTGTTGTGGGCATCTGTGTGTGTGTGAACGCCAGTGTTGTGGGCATCTGGCTGTGTGGTGACGGCCGTGTTGTGGGCATCTGGTGTGTTGTGAAGTCCGTGTTGTGGGCATCTGCTGTGTGGTGACGGACGTGTTGTGGGCATCTGCTGTGTTGTGAAGTCCGTGTTGTGGGCATCTGGTGTGTGGTGAAGTCCGTGTTGTGGGCATCTGGTGTGTGGTGAAGTCTATGTTGTGGGCCTTGATCTTACTTGACCCGTCTTTGGATGTGTTACTAGACCTCTTGTTTACACGTTTGTCTCTCGATTTTAAGCCTCGTGATATGTCGTTTTGAAACCGTTGATCTCTTCTACGCGTTTGATCATTACCTAACCCTTTGATATTACCTGATCCGTGATTACTAGTCCGTATTACCTAGACCCCCCTGTTTGATCTTCCTAGGAGCCCCTTGATCTGTCTTGACCCCTTGGGATCTTACCTAGAATATTGATTTGAACTTAGAAGCCGCACTTTTGAATTTTGGCCTTGATTCCTACCCCTTTTGATTTCCTAGACTCCTTGATCTTCTGATCCTAGAACTTAAGACCTCTGATATTACCTAAACCTGATTAACCTCTTGTCTTACCTAAGACCCCTTGATATTACCTAGATCCCCCCGATATTACCTAGACTCCCCCTTATCTTACCTAGACCCCCTTGTATCTTGCCATGACTTCCATTGATCTTACCTAGACCCCTCGTGATCTTACCTAGAATCCCGTGATCTTACTAGACCCCCTTTGATTTTACCTAGACCCCCTTTGATCTTACCTAGACCCTGATCTTACCTACATGACCACCATATCTTTCCTAGACCTGAACCATAGATCCTCCCATATTACCTACATCCCTTTTCTACCTCCCACTTGTCTTCCAGATTAGTTATGGCCTATACCTGGATTTACAACATCTGTGATTGTTATATTAACCACTTTGTAGGTCTTACTAGAGTTATTTAGTTTGTTCAAAATAACTTATAATCTTAGTTGTATAATAGCTGTCTAGAAAGTTAGTAAGAACTGGATAAAACTGCTAGTATGATTATAAACTGCATATTAGTTGTGAAAGAATAGTAATCTCCCAGGTGAAAGGCATAGATTACTGTTAGAACTGTAAGCCTGAGAACCCACCAACGACCTTCAGTAGCTGTCTGCAATCTGTTATTGTACATGGTTTCCGTGGGGATTTTGGTGGGTTCCAGGCTTTGGGTAGCGGTTAGATTTTAGATTTTGCCACCGAAGTGGCTAGTTTATTGTGCACCCCATATCCATCCTGTGGACGGTAGCGCGAGAGCATATGGATACACAAAAGGCCTAGGAACTAGGCCCCAAAGGGTTAACAGGAATACATATGGATTTATATCTACATATCTATAGTTCACTTATCTGTTACAAGCAAATTTAGGAAATTTGCTTAGTATATCTGGTATCTTATTTTCATTAACAAGATATCTTGACATGTCACATAGGTTATTATACTGTCTGTCTCTGTATTCCTCAATAAGTGGACAATTAAGCACATAGTGTTCAAGACAGTGACCATATGCCTGATCACATAATTTACATTTAGTTTGATCATCCTCTGTGTGTCACCTAAACTGCCAGAAGTACTTGTAACCAAGCCTAAGCCTGGCCACTACATCAGTCAGTACTTGTAACCAAGCCTAAGCCTGGCCACTACAACATCAGTCAGTCTGTTCACATTGCAAGTTGCTCCATAAACATACTTATCTACGTTCATGTTATCATAGTGGGTTATAGATCTACTCAGGCTTCTAACTGCATTCCTATAACAATCATTTTCATTATTTACTTCTCTCCTAATATTATTCCTAATGCTAGACACAGTTATACCAAAGTTATATTCTACATTCTCCTTCTCGATACTCTTCTTGGCTAACATATCAACTTTATCATGAAGGAGTAATCCAATGTGTGATGGGATCCATAGCAATTGTACATTAATTCCTTTGTCCCTAATTTTTGAGTATCTATACCTGGCTTCCC